GGGTAGATCAGCAGCCCATCCATAGTGCTGCTGCTTTTGCCTATTACAAGCCCAAAGGTCTCCTTAGGCAGGGGTCCAAAGACCCCTGTCGGGAGGGCCTGTACCCCCATTTCTGGAGTCAATACTGTGTGGGCGGTGGAACTGAGGTCCAGTCCGGCACTTCCTATTGTTGCTCTGAAGAGGTCTGAAATGGATTGTTGTTTGCTGGAGCAAAGTTGAGCACCCCGTAAGTTTGTTTGGGTCTGGGGACCCGGGGCTGGCCCCCTCTCCCGTTTCCCTGGTCCGGGTTATGGGCAAGCGGGAGGGGCTGGCCCTGAGCATCCGTCTTGGACCTGTACTCATTTGTCCAATGTCTCCCTTTATTGCATCGAGGGCAAGGCCCTGGAGGTGTGGCCTTAGGGGCCGATGCCCTAGGGGCCTGACATTTCTTGGCAAAGTGACCCACTGCCCCGCACCGGAAACACTTGTTACCCGGGTGGTGCGACAAAAACTGTCTGACCGTGTAACCCTGCCTGGCGGCAGCCATAGCAAGCCCCTGTTGGTAGGCGGTCCCAATTTCTGAGCAAAGGCGAATGTAACCTGAGAGATCAGTTTTCTTTTTATAAGGGCGGATGGCGGCCTGGCAAGCAGCATTGGCATTTTCAAAAGCAAGCTGTTTAACAAAATCTGTCCCCATTTCTGCGCTCCCAAAAATCCGACCCGCTGCTGTGAGCAGGCGGTGAACAAAATCCGCGAAGGGCTCATCAGGCCCCTGTCGGATATTGGTGAGAGAAGCACTCACATCTCCTTTAGAAGGGAGCTTTCTCCAGGCTCTAGTGGCCGTGGTCTGAATCTGGGCATACAACCCCGCATCAAATTGCATCTGTTGATCGCTGGCAGCATAGGCTCCATCCCCCAGAAGCATATCGAGTATCCAACCATTACCCCCCTGAGCATTGCATCTAGCAGTATCTCGGCAATTTTCCACATATTCAGATTTCCATAGTAAATAGTCACCTCCTGTAAGGGTGGCGCGGGCGAGAGTCTGCCAATCGATTGGGGTGAGCCAATTTTCTGTCACCAATTCTAAAATGGCCATTGTGTAAGGTGCAGTGGCCCTGTATTGAGCTGCAGCCGTTTTAAATTCTTTAATGACCTTAAAATCGAAACCACTGTGGTGTCTCCACGCCTGTCCCTGCACGTCAGTAGTTTCAGTTACGGGAAAGCCTTCTACATTTTCAAGTTCTAGGGATACTCCTGACCCAGATGGCACCCTAGGGGCCGCCCCTCTAACGGGGGGGTCGTGGCTTAGGTTTGTCCTCTCTACGGACATTTTCATGGGTCTTGCCTGTTCTTAATCCCTCGAGCTGGGTAATAAGTTCCTGGTGTTCCTTTTCTAATCTTATTTGTTCTTTTAGAAATTCTATCTTGTCCCGGAGTTCTTTTTGGGGATCAACAGCAGGGCATGCCAGAGCAGGCGCATTGGGAGTGTTGGGTACCGGAACATAAGGAGGCGGACATTGGACTATGGGCGGCCAGTCAGGATTATGATATCTGACTGCCTCCTCCTCAAGATTGGCCCAGTCAGCCTCCCCCGGATCGTTCTGTGGCAAGGGGGGGTGTCTGAGGTGGCGGAGGGAAGGGTACAAGGTCGGTTCCTCTTTCACTGGCGGGGCAGGCTTAGAGGCAGGGGCTGAAAGGGTGGAGGCGGAAGCTGAGGAGCGCCAAAGAAAGGCTTGGATGAGGCAGAGCCCACCTGTAAACCCTCATCGGTTGCATTTTTTTTGTCTGACTCATCGTCACTATCAAAAGACATCAAGTCTTCTTCCTCATTCTTTGAGGAAGTCCCGTCCCGCAGGGGCTCGGGCCTCGGCGCCATCTTGGCATGTCAGGGGGTATTTACACACTCCTCACTCCGAGGGAGAGTGACCGACCCTTCCTCTGATCGGAGAGCTGTCTCCCCGACCTGGATGGCTTGAGCCACCACCGGATCTTTGGTTTTTTGGGAGATAATTTCATCAATAAGATTTCAATAAGAAAATGCAGTAATCGGGACCTTTCCTGGTCCACAAGTAGCATGATAATCTTTAAGGGCCTCCCCTACT